TCCTTGATATCATCAATGATGACCATTCACTGGTCAATGCTTAAGTCAAGGAAAAGCAAACCACACAATAAGCCATCATTCATATTGCTAGTACATCAAATCACAACACAAGGATTGTTTTAAAATTTACTAGCCAATTGTTTCATTACAGATTATCCATTAAGAAGTTTTGGATATGGTCACAACAGATACCAAACTAAAGTCCTTCGCCGTGTACATTTATTTTGTGTTGCCATGAAAGAAGTGTTCTACTAGGTCATCTCTCACAGTTCTTTATATATTGCTTTTTTTTTTTCTAAACTTTTACAAAATACAGTCAGTCACACATTTTTAGTTCCTGTCAGATGTAGTCAAAATGGGAACTTGCATTTTAGGTTCCATCTGTCTGCCAATTTTTTCGGATATGCCTTATCAAATTTTGTACAAAGATTTTATTTAACTGGCTGCCAGTTTCATTCAAAAACACTAAAAATAAACTTATCGACTGATTTCATTCAAACTTGGTTTTGACATGACTTGTTTCAAAATGTCTGACTGGTGGCCATGTTTTTTTTCCATGAGCACTTTACCATATTTCGAACATGCCTGAATTTTGTTAAAGTTGTAGACAAGACTTAAGATTGTTAATTCGGACAAATACAAACAGGGACTAATATCATTAAAAATACCTTGTTTTATATATTCTCAATTGAATTGAAAATTATTTTTATTTCATCAAAAATTATTATAATAGTAATTACAGAAACAAATTAAAAAATGCTTTAAAATGATTAGTTTTTAAATCACACCTACTGGTAGCAATTTATAGCCAAGTTGATACATAACAAAATTATAGCATTATTATTATCATATGAATATAAATTTGTAGATGTTTTAAAGCTTTAGAATTGTGTTCTTGTTCAAGATTTTAGTTATCTAATGTACATTTGTACTTCTTCAACTCTCCACAATATATTCGTAATGTAGACTTTTTATTTCTTTAATTTATTAATGTCGAATTTGTTTATAATAAATATATACTATATGATTTCAGTGATTTGTATTTTTACTTATTGTTAAATACAGCATTAAACAAATCACGTCTTAGTAGTGTGACCTTTCACCTGAGACATTAATTTGCTGCAGAGTCAAAATGATTATATTTAAAATATTTGCGATTATTCGAAGAGTTTTGAATACGTACATTCAATGAGTGAATTGGCTGTGGTTGAGAGAACGATACAAACTTGCGACACATATCAACTGTCAAACATTTTTGCCTAAAACTTGGGGATACTATCACAAAATGTATTAAAACTTGTATGTTTAGCATATTTATAAAGATTGATATGTGTC